TTTGATTGTCAAGAAATATTAATTAATTTATTTATTTTATCATACATATCTACTCAACCGTTCACGGTGACTACATTCCCCAAAAAATTATTGCCTCACTTGTCCATGGTGACTACAGTCACCAAACGACATCTTTCGGGTTTAACGTGTACAGCGCAAAAGATAGCTGTTATTAATACAGTAAGACATTAAAGATGGTGCTATTACAAATATGTCATCTGTGAGAGTGAATTTTATCTGTAAGAGAGTAACAAAATATTTAGAAAAAAAAAGTGAAAATGTAATTACGCCATTTTTGTTTGTTTACTGTTAAAGTGTGAGAAATTCGATCAAAAATGTGATAACTTTTCTGTTTTTATACGTTATTTCTAATGTTATTGTACATCAAACTGATTGTGAAGATATTTTCTTTATTGTCATGCTAACATTTTAATCACTATATGCGATCATCGTTTATTGATTATATGTTGTTTAAAAGGTATTTTAATCAGTTTTTGTGTTAAAGGAATGCTAAAAAAATAAAAACTATTGGTAAATGCAATTGAGCATGCCTTCGCATTAAAAAAATTACTTATAGCATGATTATACGGAATTTTTTAAAGTAGTTTAAATACACAAGTTTTCACTAATAACCTTATTATACTTCCAATTTTCCGATAATTTTATGTCAAACTTCAATTTGAAAGTTTGGAAAATCCAAAGTACACGACTCATAATGCTCATATGATCATCATATCATGATTCATGTCACTCCAAAAAGTCCAAGACGTATTCAAGTATAAATATTACATCCTACTTACTTTTAGTACGTACTACTATTATTTATTCTGTGCTTTTAAAATATTGTAATAAAATTTCTGATTATTATAATAATCGAGTATGTATGAAATTTGTTTTTCGAATATTTTGTATTTATTTGTACAGCGATCTTTTTTAAGCCGCTGCAAACAACCAATACAGTATCCACTCACAATGGCGGTTGACGCCGAACTAAGCGAGTGAGACACAGGCAGTCGCTATTTACTGAAATAAATTCTAACACAAGGCTGCGAAAACACCGAAAATTTCGACATTTAGCAGCCGAAAAAAGTTAATTATAACTAAACAAAACAAAATTAAACTGCCATTTACATTCAATGGCTTCCCACATGATAGATGAAGAGTTTTAAAAATAGATTGAGTTGAACAATTGATATTTTCAAAAGTTATCGTGTTTACAAAGCCATACGGACTTAATAAATCCACACCATAAGCCACTAAAACTTCTTTTTTATGTAAAAATAGCAATTAATCGATTTAAAAAAATATATTAATAAGTTCAACAATCATTTATCTTTCTGACAAAGTGCTTTTTATATCATTTATATGTATAATATGATTGCTAGATACGATTTCATGCGACAAAACGTTGGAATCTTGATTTTTAGGCGCTAGTAGAACATACCTATGCGCTTTGCGCTCGGCATGTAATATAAAAGAATGTTTCACTATTAATACATTGATAGCCATTTATAAACGAAATATCTGTTGAGATGTGCCTAGAAATTATTAAAACTTATTTTTATTTATTTACTTATTTATTAAAATTTATATTGAGTAAACATTATATACTGTATATTGAGTATATAACATATTATTGATATTGGTGTCATTTTAAAAGCAATATCATGTACTATTATAATATAAAATACTTATCTCCAGTAAATATTATACTTTTTTTGTGTATCTGGGTTCAAAGTTTACAAGAGATGGAAAGTGTGAGAGTGATATCGAAAGAAGAGTGAGTCTGAAAGAAGATGTAGTGACAAAAATTGAGAAAGGTATGCTGATATGATTTGGCCATGTCGAGAGAATTAATGAAGAACGATTGACGAAAAAAGTGTATAAGGCGAGTGTGAATGAAAGTGCTGGATACACCTAGGCGAACATTTCAAGATCAAATCAGGGACGTCTTGAAAAAGGGCAGGTCAAGAGCACCCTAAACCGTAGAGCATGTATGAAGAGAATAATGAAAGTGGACGAAGCGAAACAAGTATGTAAGGATCGTAGCAAGTGGAAAGAAGTGGTCTCTGCCTACCCCTACGGGAAAGAGGCGTGATTATATGTATGTATGTATGTACTTGTAAAACTCGAAATAAAAAATTAAATACGATTTCTTTTATATTTCCACTTTTAAGCTTTATTTTCAGCATTTGTTTTTAATTTGTCCAATTTTCTTTTAACATAATTAAATGTTGAATTCTTTGAGTCTTTTGAGAATATTTTTTATTTGAATGTAGCTATAGTAGTTTTTCAATAGTAAACGTTTTCGTCCCGCGCGGCCGTAAAAAATAGTGACATTTAATGCGTGGACAGGTGAGGCGAAAATCACTCGCGGGGGGTGGACGTTTTAGTAGATAATTATTCATAGATAGATAAATCAGTTTATTTAGACAGGTAGATAGGTACTCATATGTCTTTGTTTGTCTGTCTTTAATTTAAGATGATGCCGCCGAAGTTCCATCCGTACCTCTCCATTGTCACCGCCAAGACAATTATCATCACCAATACCAACTTTTTTCCAAAGATGACTCTGGATTCTGGCCAAAAGCTTTCAATGATACTTTGATCCAGTATCTAATAGAAAATCCGATTAAACAAATTAAACAGTATAATATTCAGCGTGACTCTTCGGGGCGAAAATTTTCCGAGTATTATTATAAAAGGCATTTAGGAAACGGTTAAAAGTATTACAGAGAGTGGTTGCTGTATTCAGTGTCCAAAAATGCCGTTTATTGCTTCTTTTGCAAGCCATTTGAATAAAAAAATAACAATAAATTTTGCGAGAGAATTAGTGATTGGCAACATCTAGCTTTGTATTGCAGCAGACATGAGAAAATTTCTGCTCATTTCAATAATTATAAAAAAATGGACGGATTCATGTCACGCTCTTAAAAATAAAAACATCATTAATAATATTTAACAAAAACTTTTAGATGTTGAAAAGCAGCGCTGGTGCGATGTAATCAAAAGAATAATATATGTGGTTCAATTCAAAATGCCAAAGCCAAAAATTATACGAGCGTAACAATGGTAATTTTTTAAAATGTATTGAACTGTTAGGAAAATTAGATGTTTCAATGACAGAAGATATACAACGCGTAACGAATGATTCGGATTTCAAAAATATGTCGACTTATATTGGAGATAAGATCCAAAATGAAATAATTTACATACTCGGCAACCAAATTCAACATTTCTTTTTAAATTTATGTCAAATTAATAAATATTTTTCAAATACTGGATTGTACACCTATTTTCTGTGTTAAAATAGACAAATCTAATAAATTAGTATTATTATTAGATTTGTCTATTTTAACACAGAAAATAGAAAGTTGGAAATAAGGGAGCTTTTCCTAGCTTTCTGTCCAATCATCGATACAACTGGCGCTGGGTTAATGTCATTTATAGTAGAAAAACTAGCCGAAATAAATTTGGACATATACAACTTAAGGGGACAGGGCTATGATAATGGATCAAATATGCGCGGTAAGAATAATGGTCTTCAAAAAAGATAGCTGGATCTAAATCCCCGCGCTTTCTATGTACCGTGCGCTAGCCATAGCTTAAATTTAATAGTAAACGGCGCTGTCAATCTCAATCATCATACGACTATATTTTTTAGTATTGTGCAATAATTATATAAATATTTTTCGTCCTGTACCAAAAGATGGGATATATTAAAAAAATATGTCATAAATCTGACCTTAAAACCATTGTCTGAAACAAGATGGTCAAGCGGAATAGATGCTATCAAACCGCTCTTTGATATATAATATATACTGGAAAAGAGAACCCTCTTGCGAGTAAAACTGATGCTCCGTGGACAGAGCCCCATCTGGTGATTGTTACGCTACTTATGTTATGCGTTGTATGTGTATTCTAATCCACGCACACAATATTATTTATTAAATCTTTACTATTTCCATATCAATTTTATGCATTCTATTTACTTTTATTATTGCTTAGCTACTAATAATTAGAAATATTTTAAAACAATATGTTACATGAGAGAATAAGATTAGCTAAACATAGATACATCACATCAGTAGAAAATTGAAATGGAATAATTTGAGAAATGTAATTAAACACTTCTAATAGTTTTACAGAAATAAAACAATTATTTTTCTTAATTTTCTTTTATATATACAATGTGTCCGGTTTCCGATGTCCGATATTTTAAGGGGTTAAAATACAATTAATTTTATCGACAAATCAGGGATCAATGATTTTTTTCGCCATCAATAAAAAAATGGCAGCACTTTAAAAAAAATTGTTGGCGAAGCATAGATGCTTGTATTAATTTAACAATATCTACCCAAGTAGAAGACTTTCAAAAACAAAATTGGTCTCAAATGTTAGTTAATAGTGTAGACAATAAATCTAGATTCAAAATATTATTTTTTTATTTTTCAGTATTAGTAAAAAACATTTTTGAAAAAATAAATTAGACAACAAATTGATGTTGCTTTTCAGATTCTTAGCTTTAAAAAAAAAACCATCGTGTTAACCAATTTTTTTACTTGTTTTTATTATAATACAGGATATTTGCTATAAATGCACATTTAAATCTTAACTCTGAGTTAGATAGTTTAGGAGCTATGATAATTTGAATGTAACTGTTCAAAGTGCCCGATATTAGATAACTAAACACCCATCTCCAGTGAGTAAGATAAAATTCTTCAATAATTCAAGGAATCGTAAGCAAGCACAATAGCATCCTTTGTGTGAGCAGGTAAAAAACGCTGTGCACAACAGTGCGAGCGAGACAGAATAACGGCTGTCTCCAGGTAAAAAGGGTGCAGTGTGCGCTTGTGCCGTCGAGCAGTCGTCCCTCGCTCTGCGTTGTGATAACATTCCTGGTTTTAAGTAAATCTACTTACTGTACATAATTATTGTTTGTTGTTAGACTTTGTTACGTTTTTGTTTTGTTGTTGAACTGTTACTTTTTGTTTATTACAATGAACCAGTACTCAAGCCAGCATATCGCTGACATCCATTTCGTGTATGGATTGTGTAACGGGAGTGCAAATAGAGCTGTTGTAGAGTATGCACGCAGATTTCCTAACAGACGTACGCCGAATGCTCGCACTTTCGTGAGAATTCATTTGAGACTTGCGGAAAATGGAATAAGAAGGCTCGGTAACGAACGTACTCGTGTTTTGTCGCTCCAAGATGAACATCAAAAATTGCAAATGATTACTCAAGACCCTAGCCTGAGCATTAGACGCATAGCTAATCGTCTCAGTCTATCAAAATGGTCGGTGTGGAAAATTTTAAAAAGAGAAGGATTACATCCTTACCATTTTCGAAGGGTGCAAGAAATACTGGAACCGGATTATGTAAGAAGAGCAATATTTTGTTCGTGGATATTGAGAGAAACGCGATATGATCCAAACTTTTTAAAAAGAATTATGTGGACAGACGAAGCTACTTTCACGCGATCAGGGTATACGAACTACCGTAACGAGCACCTGTGGCTTCAAGAAAATCCACATGCGATCCGCCCAAGTTCTTTTCAACATAAATTTTCTGTCAACGTTTGGGCCGGAATGATTGACGACATTCTAATTGGACCAATCATTTTACCGGAGACAATGAATAACCCAAGATTCCTAAATTTCCTGGAAACGAATTTTTTGGATGCTTTATTGGAGTTACCATTGGCCTACAGGGCCAGAATGATTCTGCAATTGGATGGTGCTCCGGCACACTTCGCGCTTCTTGTGCGGAATCATTTAAATGCACACTATTCGTCGTGGATCGGACGCGGAGGAACAATTGCTTGGCCACCGCGGTCGCCGGATTTAACACCTCTCGATTTTTTTTTGTGGGGCACACTCAAACGAAGAGTGTATGTAAATTGCCAAATACACGAGAGGAGTTAGCAGAAAAAATAATTCAAGCAGCAAACGAATTGCGAGAAGACAAGGCAATGATCCAGCGCTCTACGCAACACGTTGCACTAAGAGCAACAGCATGTCTGCAGAGACAAGGAGGTCACTTTGAGCAGTTTTTGTAATATTTTGCCAAATTAAATGCAATTGATATAAATTATTTTGTTTTATTTCATTTGCTAGTGTATCCGCGCTTTTCAAGTAAGTATGTTTACACTGTCATAGCTCCTAAACTATCTAACTCAGAGTTAAGAATTAAATGTGCATTTATAGCAAATATCCTGTATTATAATAAAAACAAGTAAAAAAAATTGGTTAACACGATGGTTTTTTTTTAAAGCTAAGAATCTGAAAAATAACATCAATTTGTTGTCTAATTTATTTTTTCAAAAATGTTTTTTACTAATACTGAAAAATTAAAAAATAATATTTTGAATCTAGATTTATTGTCTACACTATTAACTAACATTAGAGACCAATTTTGTTCTTGAAAGTCTTCTACTTGGGTAGATATTGTTAAATTAATACAAGCATCTATGCTTCGCCAACAATTTTTTTTAAAGTGCTGCCATTTTTTATTGATGGCGAAAAAAAATCATTGATCCCTGATTTGTCGATAAAATTAATTGTATTTTAACCCCTTAAAGTATCGGACATCGGAAACCGGACACCTTGTATATTGTAGGTTATTAGGTACACAGAAGTCATTTATACAATAAAGCTTTAAATACTCTTACTTTTATATTTATTAAAATATACTGGAGCATTCATTTTTAGAGGGTCTTCATTTTCGCTGTAAGTTAGCTTGCCAGTCAAAATTCTGTTGATAGACCACCTGTAAATAATAATATTAATTGATCCTTCTAAAAAGTATTCTTTAAGATATTCTTTGTGTAATTCACAATTGAAGGGGAAATTAACAATAGTTTTTTACTAACATTTTTATGTCTGATTTAAAATTATTAACTTTTAAATTACATTTTAAAGATGAAAATAATGATAGGTAACAATATCTTCTACCTCATTAAAACAATGAGCAACATTATCTAAAGGATAGCAAAGCCACTGCTTTTTTTAAAAAAAAACTGCTTATTTGACAATATTCCTTATTCTTAATGTACTCAATATTTTGATTACTTTTATCAGCAATTAAATTAGTTTTACATATTTTACACCTTTTATCTTTTTTACATTTTGTCAGGCCCCAGCCACAAACATATTTGCTTTGTTAGAGCACTCATCATTTGTTTCATTAAAACTTTTTTTTAGCCAATTGAACTATTTACTACTGAAAATTTCACTACTTTCTCCATCAAGCCTTTTTTTACTTTATCTTCTAAAAAAAGTAATGTTTTTAAGCAAATTATTAGAGTCACCTTCACAATTAGCATTTACTGCGTGTGCAGAAGCGAAATTATTTAAAAGTAGCGTTTTGTCATATTCAAAGCATGCAGCGTTTGGTGCAATATTTCGTACACCCAAACTTCTTATAATATTCCAGGACTATATGACAATATGACAGGACTTGCATACCCTCAATAGTCTTAATTAAATATTTTATGGATGGTGCACATGTTTACTAAAATTCTTTCTGTATTACCCTCTCTTTTCCTTATTAAAATTTTCATGGACTTTAAAATTTTTAAGCTTTCGTGCCACAATTTATGATGTGGAGAGTTTTTCTTGACCCCTACCCTGTATATTTTTCCATCAATAATGTGCAAAGTTCTAGCATTTAAGCTATCAAATAATTTGTCAAGAAACAACACAAAAAGTATTAACACTTTTTGACAAATGTTCTGTAGCAACAGTAACAGAGTGACTGAAAGTTTTTACTACTATTTTTACTTTGATGATGGTCTGAGTTCATGGTTAAAGTTTTCGGGAGGCTGTCCCTCACACTCTGTATAACATTATGTGACCTATGTTACTACCAGAAATATAGTAAACAGGATTACTTAAAGAGGTATTTTTACTATTTACTGTTTGTAGTGGTTTATTTTTGTCACGTAAAAATCCAATGCTTGTAAGCAAACCACTTTGGTTCGTGTACATTGTCTATGCCTACACCAGATTTATGCGACTTGAGGAGTCGCATAAATCTGGTGCAGGCATACCATGTTTTTTCACGAAAATAATGTAACGTTAATTTTTTTTAACTTTCTCTTTACTACTAATACCAAATAAACTTGCAATTTCATTCAGCGCGTACATCCGTTTATTTCTGTTCTTGTAATCTGCATTTTTTGGATTCCACAAGATGTAATTTTTATAAAATTCTCAATTAGAAGCAAAAAAACTTCCTTATCCCAATTAAATGACATTATAATTTGTTTCGTCGAACAAACCGCACAACATTATCACTCTAATGTCGGAGACGAACTGACGCGGGCTTCCTTCGCAACCCGCTAGTACATCCCGGCGGTCACGCCGGCGGCTCGTTTGTGCCGCAAACTCGGCCTCAAATACCCGCCGGCAATTCCGCCGGGCTTGTTGACGGCATAGCCACCGATCGAGCTTAATGTCGAACTGTCGATGAAATCTATTTATAGATTCATCGGTAATTGGAACTTCAAGTTTGGGGTGTTCATGGCTATTGTATTTAGATAAAGATGCTGACTTCTTAGAGGGATTAGCGGCTAAAGAACTTATATCGTTATTGCTGTTGATTCTAGACAGAGCGTCGGCGTTAGTGTTTCTTTGCCTTTTTTATAGATTACAGTAAAGTAATATTTACTTAACTTCAGTCTCCATCTAATTAATCTCGAATTTGGTTCTTTTAGGTTCATCATTCATTGAAATAGTCTATGTTCGGTTACAATTTTAAACTTACGTCCGAAACTAAGCGATAAAAGTTATTCTTTATAATGCGCACAATCAAAGAGTGGAATGCCCTGCTGGCGTCTGTTTTTCCGAGTACGTATAGCCTTAACCTCTTCAAGGTGCATGTTAACATGTTTTCTGGCGTGTAGGTCACCGGTGACGGGACTCTGCGTTGTATCAATCTACCACGTAGGGCACCGGTGACCTCAGAGCAGACCTGTTTTTGAAACGAATTTGTGAGCTGTAGGACACGCTTTTCGTAGATTTATCTGTAGTATTATTTATGACAATTCACAGTTACAATTATAATTAATTGACTAATTGCTTGCGAAGGATGAATTCACCAAAGTTTTCATTCTTTTTTAAAGTTAAGTTATAAAATATGGCAACATTATTAGATCTGTGGGACCACCCAGCTGTTGATTTAATCAAATTTATATTAAGGCCCTTTACATGTGCAGCTGATGTAGAGGCATGCCGTGTGATATGTGCAGAGTATATTGATACATCAATTCCGGCCTCAAATAAAACGTCTTTTATCCGCCTGCTGAGTGTATGAGTTGAAGCAGGAGTATGTGGTTTTTTAATGGTGATAAAAAATATTTGTGTTCATCCGTAGTGGTCTTGTGACCTCTAAATAATCACATAATGTTTTTGTAGGGCAAATACTCATATTCTCATAAAAAACTTTAAGGTGAATAAAGGTAGAAGACCATTTATTTTAGAAGTTTTGATTAATTGGGGAACTTTGAAAAATTCTACTCCAGTCACATTTTTATATTACGGTCAATGCAGTGTCTGTCTACAATTTAGTGATGAACTGGACTTACTAATTCGAGCAATTTATTGATATATTATATAATGTCAATAGGCTGATTAAGTGTAATTCGAATTAGTTAAATTATTAATAACAGTAACTTTACGCTAAATCATAAAGTAAGTGATATTATTTTATGAAGATTGTCTATACGCAAACCAATAATATATAATTACCTATTAAGGACGCGTTTACAAAATTGATAGGTATAGAATCGAACTATTACATTGACACGGGTCACACACACACAAGTGTACGCACGGTTAGCTCGCAATCAAGTATAAACATTTTGATAATTTGAAAGATTGTTTTTTTTTTTCATATTTCTTATCTCGTACCTACAAAAATATACTTAGATACGAAATATAAATGACTGCTCCAGTGACATCTAGGCACTAGAAGCCCTCTATTGGAAGTGAGACGTTGGCTGTGGACTTTGGGTTGGTTTTGTTAGTTATGATAACTTCAGCTCCGAACTTGGTGAAGTGACTTGAAGGTATACATGGGTGACTGCTACTGGAAGTCCGGGACGAGTAGTACCATGTGTGCCGAGTTTGGGCCCATTACGTTAGTTATGATGAGACCTTACTTCCGAACTTGATGGGAGACCTGATGGTGTACTTCGTAACTCCTGGACGGGTAGAACTAGGTGTGCCGAGTTTAGGCACGTCGGAGAAAATATAAATGGTATTACCAAATTCAAGGGCTCGTCCAGGAGTTCCAGTAGTTTCACTGAAGTACACCGTCATGTCTCTCCATCAATTCCGGAGGTAAGGTCTCATCATAACTAACTAAACGAGCCCAAACTCGGCACACCTAGTCCTACTCGTCTAGGAGTTCCAGAAGTAGTCACTGAAGTACACCATCAGGTCTCTCCATCAAGTGCGGAGGTAAGATCTCGTCATGACTAACAAAACGAGCCCAAACTCAGCACACCTAGTTCTACTCGTCCAGGAGTCCCAGTAGTAGTCACTGAAGTACACCATCAGGTCTCTCCATCAATTCCGGAGTTAAGGTCTCATCATAACTAACTAAACGAGCCCAAACTCGGCACACCTAGTTCTACTCGTCCAGGAGTTCCAGTAGTAGTTTGACGGCCCCGCGGCGCAGTGGCTTAGCAATGAGTTGCTGCGCTGGGGGCCGCGAGTTCGAATCCCGCACGGAACAAGTATTTGTATGGCCTACAAATAATTGTTCCGGGTCTGGAATTTTGTCCTTGTGCAATTTGTGTTTGTAAACTGCCTCCACGATACAGGAGAAAATTCTAGTGTGGAGGTAACGTTTTTAAAAGCAAAAAAAAAAAACTAACAAAACGAGCCCAAACTCGGCACACCTAGTTCTACTCGTCCAG